CTGGTGATGAGTGATGGTGAACATCATTTCACATGCATCTTGGGCATTTGTATGTCTTCTTTAGAAAAATGTCCGTTCATTCCCTCTGCCCATTTTTTTTCAACTGAATTGTTTGTTTTGCAAGTGAGTTGCATGATTTCTTTATGTGTTTTGGATATTGAACCTTACCAGATATGTGATTTGCAATATTTTCTCCCATTCTGTTGGTTGCCTTTTCATTTTGCTGATGGTTTCCTTTGCTGTGCAGAAGCTTTTTAGTTTGATGTAGTCCCACTTGCTTATTTTTGCTTTTGTTGCCTGCACTTTTGGTGTCAAATCCAAAAAATCATCACAAAGCAATGTCACGAAACTTACCCTGTTTTCTATGTTTTCTTCCAGCAGTGTTATGGTTTCAGGTCTTATATTTAAATCTTTAATCCATTTGAGTTTATTTTGGAATATGGTATAAGATAATGATCCTCTTTCTTTCTTCCTTCCCTCTCTCTTCCCTTTTTCCTTTATTTTCTCTCCTCTCCTCTCCTTTCTTTCCCTTTCCTTTCCTCTCTTCTTTTCGCTTTCCTTCTCTTTTCCTCTTTTCTCTTTTCTTTTCTTTGCATGTGGCTGTCCAGTTTTCCCAACACCATTTATCGAAGAGACTATTCTCAATGAAGAGACCCTTTCCTCATTGTATATTCTTGGCTCCTTTGTTAAAAATTAACTGACTATATATGCTTGGGTTTATTTCTGGGCTCTCTATTGATCTATAGGTCTGTTTTTAGTGCCAGTAAGTTTTTAGTGCTAATACCATACTCTTGACTAATAGAGCTTTGAAATACAGTTTGAAATGGGGAACTATGATGCTTCTAGCTTTGTTCTTCTTTCTCAGGATTGTTATTCAGGGTCTTTTGTCTATCAGAGTATTAATAACACTCAATATAGAGCAACTAGTTATAATACAGAGTTAAAAGACAGATTTTGATATTTAATTCTCCAAATTGATTGTAGGCACCTCGAGGGCAATCAATAAACTCATGGGTGTATTTAGTTGAGTACCTTTTTGTTCAGAATGTTTTAGTTGGGCCAGTGATCCTATTGCTAGAATTGGAGGACTGGCACTTGTCTGTGCAAATGCAGGAGCCAGTCCTGAGACAATATATATACAACTGAATTCATAGGCTATTAAATATGGACATCAGGCTATGATAACTAAGCTAATTTGGGGGCACCTGGGTGGCTCAGTTGGTTAAGCATCTGACTCTTGGTTTTGGCACAGTCATGATCTCGGGGCCTGAGATTGAGCCTCTCATTGGGCTCTGCACTCAGTGGAGAGTCTGTTTGGGATTCTGTCCTTCTCCCCCTGCCCATCTCCCTCCTCACACACTCTCTCAAATAAATAAATAAATAAATAAAATCTTTAAAAAAATAACAAAGCTAATTTTATTTCTGGGTGATTTTTCTACCTCTCATTTCTCACACTTCTAGTTGCAAAGGTTAAGATTTATCCATTTTTTGTTCTCTTTCTTTGCTAATTTCCCTGTTGCACTTCTGCTTAGATGGAAACAATCTTTCCTCTCTGCAGTCATTGTGAAAACTTTTCTCCTTATGATGGAATGTAAGTGGGTATACGTTTTAAATTTCTTTGGTTCAGCAGTAAAACGAAGTTCTTACATTACCATAGATATTTTGTCAGAGGCCTCTTCATTGCCTTAGGGAAACCCTAATGCCAAGGACTGTACTCATTGGGTGAGTGTTTGAGAATAGGGCTTCTTTTAGGAATAATAGCAAAACATGGTGTGGCCCTTGGGGAGAGGTTGTTATTTTGAGAGCAAAAGTCAGGGCAGAACCAATCAGTGGTTAAGAGTATAGACTAAGCTGTGGTTTTGTCACGTACTAGTCAGTGACGTTGGGCAAATCCCTTACTCCCTCTGAACCACAACTGCCTCTTTTACGAAATTAGGGTGTTGCGAGGGTGATATGAGCTGATGTATGTAGAAGTGAAAGCACAGTCCCTATTACCTAGCAAATACTCAATAAATGTCAACTGTTACCATTATGCCATTGATGATGATGATGACAACGACGATGATTATGATGATCTTAGGAGAGGCAGGTGAAATTGATTTTGTGCTTTTGTTTTTGAATGACCTGTGAGAGTGATTTATTCATCACAACTAGTAGGTGATCTTACAGATGGATTTGATTTCAATAGAAATAATGATCCCCTAAGCACAAGTTGTTTTATGAAATTACTGGGAAAAAGAAACTATATTGATTATAGTCAATATGATCACTAAGTCTGCAAAATAATACATTAATGCAGTTTTTCATTAGCACTAGTGGCTCATTGAGAAAACCCATGAAAATATCTCCATTAGTGAGTTTTGGTTTCAGAAATCAAATTGAAGCACTATGATCAGTTGAGCAGGGAATGCAGGGACCTGCACCATTGGAAAAACTATCTCCAGACTGAAGTGGCTGAGTGAACACGTCTGCTGAGACATTTTCTTGACTGTGTTACATGACATCCCTCAGCTGGCTTTGTTGATGTGTGGTATTCTTTGTGAGGTCATCAATGACATTACCAACAATTCAAAAGCAATGATACTGAGTTAAAGTCAATCAGCTACAAAACTCACAGCCAGGGGACCACAAGGCTGCTGTCTTTATGGGGCGGGCACATGCATTGTTTAGGTAAATCGAACTAGGTCTCTATTCTCTGTCTCTCATTGTCAGGGGAACCCCGTTAGCCTGGAGATAGCATGTTATCTCTGGACTGTTAGGGTTTCCACTGTTGTGTGGTAGACCTCCATGTGAACATGTACAAAAGCGTTAGGAATGGCAATGGTGGGCTATGACAGATGACTGCCTTCCAAGTTGGCTTAGTTGAGGTTTTCCGTATCAGAGCAACCTGGGACGTAAGGGTTTGCTTAGGGTTCACCAAATGATGAATGAAGGCCAGTAGCCATCATATATACCAATTGTTTTGCATAATTCAGGAAAGAGCGTACGTTTGATGAAGGTCCTGCAGCAGTAGAGAAACATATGTGTGTGAAATATTTTTTTCTGGTGATACTCTTAATAAAAAAAGACGAGTCTTAGAATTTATTAGTTTGTTAGAAGGAGTGAAGTCAGAGGAAAAATAAAATTTTCAGAAATGTCAACTTTTATTTTAGTAGAAAATTTATAGTATTCCAAAATGAATTTTCTATAGAGTCACAGTTATCAACTGCACTGAAATTCTTTGATTTAGTGTAGTTATGCTAATTCATCCTATATGGACCCAAACATTTTAACTGTACCATAATTTACATTAAGATACTATATGCTCTTTCTTATCCTAGGTTAAAACTGACTTCATATTAAACGTTTTCCTGAGTCATGAGATACTTGTAGAGTAAAGGTATGTTGTCCCAACAGGTCTGACCTCCACCCATTCAGGACAACAGGGTAGTGGCTTCCCTGTAAGATCTGGGTGTGCCAGCTGCTATGATTAATGAAAGCCCTAGGCAGGTCGAACTGATACTGAACAATAGCAACTCTACATTAGAACTGGCTTCTTCTTCTTCTTCTTCTTCTTTTTTTTTTTTTTTTTTTTAGGTGATCACACGGTGTTATCTTTTTTTTAGCTAAATAAAAGCTGGCAAGAGTTCTTTTGGTGGACTCTTCACTTTTATGTACTTTTATGTGTGTTATTTTCAAAAAAGTTAAAGGATATTGGAGCATTCAAAAAAACTTTTAAAAATGTAGTGATTCTAATAGTGGAAGTATACACGCACACGCACGTACACACACACATACACATATATGTTTCAAGGTGAAAAGGAAGTCAAGAGCTAACACAATATAAGACTTTATTTTAGAAATACATAGCAAGGGGCACCTGACTGTCTCAGTCAAGTTAAGCATCTGACTCTTGATTTCCCCGCCGGTAATGACCTCCGGGTTGCACTCTTCCCTGGACATGGAACCTGGTTAGGATTCTCTCTCTCCCTCTCCTTCTGTCCCTCCCTCCCTCCCTCCCTCCCTCCCTCCCAACTTTTTAAAAGATTTTATTTATTTATTTGGAGAGAGAGAACGATTCCTTCCTCTCAAGTGAGCAGGAAGAGGGGGTGGGGGGGCGGAGTGGGGAGGAAGGGAAGAAGGAGATGGAGAAGCAGACTCCCCACTGAGCAGGGAGCCCCACATGGGCCTGGATCCCAGGACTCTGGGATTATGACCTGAGACGAAAGGAGACTCTTAACAGATTGAATCACCCAGGTGCCACCCATCCCTCGATCTCCCTGAAACAAACAAACAAAACAAGTGCTTGCTATGGAGACTTCCCCCTTGAAATTGCGGTGCCATGCAACCCTAGCTAGAAGAAAACTTTTTTTTTTTAATTAAGTTCCCTTAATTACAGGAATTATAGCAGTCACTACGAATTATCTTCTGTCTCTTTGTGAAAGGATCAAGGCATGGTTTCCTTTGACTTTTAGTCTGTCAAGTGTAGATGCTTAAGGACAGGAATGCCCAAGTGTTGGCTCTTGGCTCAAGTGAGAGCATCATTGGGGGGAGCCCAGGAAGGGAGTTGTGCCACCATCTGAATTAAACCCGCACCAAAGAACCTGAAGTGAACGTGAGACTCACTGTCTCCATTAGTGACAGCTTTCCACTGTTCTCCTTGTGGAGGGGATTAGCAGTGGAACACGTTTTCGAGTAGAGAGTGCAGTTTTGTGAGTCACACAATACGGTTTCTTTTCATGACATTCTTGACTTTATCCTGTGTAAGTATCTTCAGTTGCCTCATACCTTGCTTTTCTTTCTTTAATTCCTGTCAGAAGGTGACTTTTATGTGGTCAGTTCCCTCATTTCCATTTTTTTATGTGTTGTTTTTGGCCCATGATAACGTCCTTATTTTATGTTTTGTTTTCTAGCTTAACATCGGTTCGGAATCTTGCAGGGTCCCTCTCTACCATGGGGATTGCTATCTGATAAAAATCCCAATTCACTTCTTTCTGTTTCCTTTTTGTTTTTCTTTGTAGGCTAAGAAATGGCATTTCAAAAGGCAGTGAAAGGGACTATTCTTGTTGGAGGTGGTGCTCTAGCAAGTGTCCTAGGCCTCTCTCAATTTGCTCATTACAGAAGGAAGCAAGTAAGTATTATGCATGTATTGGTTATACTATGAAACTTATATCTGTTAAAGAACTGCATTCAGGGCATGGGTGTGTGTTAATGGTTTTGTTTAGAAATTACTGTCTTGATCTGACCGACACTAATTTAGAATACTCCCTTAATGATTCTTGACTACTGTGTGTATATAATTTTTTAAAAAGTGAATTTCTTTATCAGAAAGCATTACATTACTTAGCTTCTATTTTGGCTCTCTGGTTTTAAGAGAGTGCCTCATTTCCGAAGGCCAGGTTTTGTTTATCTAGACTTCCTTGTCCAATTCATCCAAATTTCTGGATACCTTCTGTGTTCCTGCCAACAGTTTGTCTTACTAGAAGGTAGGCAGGCCTCTGAGACAGGAAATGGAAAAGGGCCTAGACAAAAGACCCAATGTTGACTCTCGGTTTTATTTCTGAAAGGTTTACTTACTCATGGAGCGTTACTTTATATTGGATCACGTCTTTAATGGGAGAAGGCCATGAAATGAGATTGGTATGAAGTTTCCAAATAATTTAAAGTGCTCAGTTTATTTTCATTTTTTTTTTTTCCCCTTTGCACTACAACTATGCCAAATGGATGTCAGGAAATTATTTTGGTCACTGCTTTTGTTCTTTTCAGCTTGAAATCCTGGCGGCCGCCTCAGTGGTCAGGATTACTAGTCTCCTGTTCTCCCTTCCCCGTGTCTCTAGGGTATTTTTCGCTATCAGCTCGATGGTATATTCCTGACTCAAAGACGGAGGAGGTAAAGGAATTGGGGAAGCTGTTGCAGTTGGACTCGTTTTGTTCATTGCTGTGAGAGCCTTTATGCCATGGCTGGTCCTGTGCCTGTTTTTTCCTTTGTGCTCTGAGAGTAGAGCCGGCCACATTGCTTGGAGTCCCAGGTTCTGAGTGAGAAATACTACTTTAAAAACTCTTCCCGGGAAGAATCAGTTTGATGACTTAGAGTTAAAAAAACAAAACAGAACAAAACAAAAAACCGGCTTGTTTTTAGTGCTTCCTCCTAAAGACAGAAGGAATTGAATAGGCCGTGTTAGTCCTTTTCATTCTTACTTATGAGCACATCGCCCTTACGGTTTCCCCAGTTGGATATCTTGCAGGTCCTAATTGACTTGCTCTGAAGCTCATCGTCACTCACGGGTTATGCTGGGTGCACTGTTCCTTTCAAAATATTGCCTTGTTTGCTTAAAAGTCAGTGTGAAAAGATGCCGCTCCTGCTGTGAGGTTATTTCAGAAGTGCAGTTTGGTTTGAGACGTGGGCTTTAACGGATTAGGTTATTTCTGCCATCTTTACCAGGCAGGGCTATCCCAAATGACACTGGCAACTGCCGGCGCCAAAGGTCACAATATCTAATATGATAAGTTGTTGCTAAGTTTGTACACGGTTTATGTCTGTTAACTGCAGCAAGCGTGTTCTACTTCAGAGTTTATAAGTTAACTTTGTGTTCAGATTATACTGTTTCATATGTTTTATTTGTTTGATTTTTCTTTTTCTTTTTTTTTAAAGATTTTATTTATTTGACAGAGATCACAAGTAGGCAGAGAGGCAGGCAGAGAGAGAGAGGAAGGGAAGCAGGCTCCCCGCTGAGCAGAAAGCCCGATGCAGGGCTCGATCCCAGGACCCTGAGATCATGACCTGAGCCAAAGGCAGAGGCTTTAACCCACTGAGCCACCCAGGCGCCCCTGTTTGATTTTTCTTTAATCTCACACAATAAACAGTTGATATTCTCTAATCAATCACATTAAGGGTGAATTTTCATCAGTAAAATCAAGACAAAACAAGAATCTACTGATTTCTGGGTCATTTTGCCATTTTCTCCTTCCTAAGTTAGACATCCTGACTACCCTAATGGCCAAATGAAATGGATACCAGCAGTTTCAAGTCATTTATAATTTTAATCTGACAAGTTCTTTTGAGAAAAATCACCATAGGCATATTCAATCAATGAGTTGCATAAGGCATTCATCCAAACGTGTGCATTCTTTTGTGGTGATTCCTGTCCCCTAAAGCCACGGCCTTGAGCGCTTTTTGCGTGGCAGGTTGGGATGTAGCCTTAGGGATTAGCAACAAAAAGAGAAGAGAGATTACGGGGGTGGGGGGGGAGAGGAGGCGACTCTTTTGGGCCATTGACATAAAATGACCAGAGGCCTCAGCTGTCCTCTCTCAGAAAATATCTGCCAATCAGAGCCATTCTGGGGGACTTTTCAATGGTCAGGAAAAATCTGCCCCCGATACAGATTATTTGGCTACGTTTTGTAGAAGCTGTGTCTTTAAATGTGACTCGGCATGCTCCATTTTTCTGCAGAGCCATGCTTAATGTATTGGCTTGTGTCTTTATATTTTTTTCTTCCAGTTTTCTAAGATGATTCTAACTGATGAACTGTCCTCCTTTAAGAAGAAATTGGTGTCAAAAGTCCAAGACGCTGACGTATTAGAAAGCCATCTGTCGAGTTCAAGTTCAGGCACATTTTGCTGGCATTCCTGCCCCTGCAGCTCTGTCTCCCCTGGCTCCTTGCTTGTGCTCCTTTGATATTCTGAGCACAAAGCTTCCTTCCTAAAGTACAGGCAGGGATTGTATTCTAAATACAAACCGCTTGATTCTAGAAGTTGGTCAACAGTTAAAGCACATTTGACAGAAAAGGTAGTGCTACCTGTCAGCATTTAGGTGCCAAGTCAGCTCACTTGAAAACTTTTAAATCAATTCTACAGTTAAATTAGCTTATATTTGCAAGGGGGATAATAAAGGAATGCTATTCTGTATCCATCTATTTGATTAAATAGAAAACACTATGAAATCAAGTAAGATACTGTTCACTTACCTTTTACCCAGCTGCTTGAATAAAAGCTATTGTAGGTGAGGAGATAGAGACAACTGCGGAGACCCTAGCATTTCTGGAGAGAGGTCAGGTGTTAGAGGTAATAGCAATGATTGTTTAGTCTCATGTCACAATGTGGCTTTCCCTCATACAAGCATATTATTAAGATTTGTTATTCAGTGATCAGTAGTGTCCATTGTTGACCTAAGGGGAGCATAGAGATTTTTTTCTTTTAAGATAAATAAATCAGAGTTAGAAGGGATGGACTAAGGAGATTATTATTATTATTATTATTATTTTCTTTTGGAGCTGGAGCAACCTGAATTTTCCTATTACAGCGAGGAAGCTGATGAAGAGATGAATATTGGCTGACTTTTTTTTTTTTTTTTGACTGTGTCCACCTGCAGGGAAGGAGGTTTGTGGCCACAGAGAGTATCCACTCTCCAGGCTCTCCTCAGTGGCGCGTGTAGGGTTTTTTTGAGTGGTCTTGGAGAGGCTTCCTATTCATTTTCCTCCTTTTATTGCCTCACCCACAAGTAGGTGATATAAGTGTCCCCAGAGTCTTCTTGATGTTCCTTTCCCTGGATCAGCTATATGCCAAGGGCCAGGAGGCTGAGTAATGGCTCTTGTCATTGCAGTGGGTATATACCACTGTCTTAAATCCCACCAGGAATGTGGCGAGCAAATATCTCTGTAGTGGTGTGCAGATTTTTGAGAGCAAGTTATTAGTCATTCACTATTTAGTAGAAGTCAATTTAATACTAATTTTACTTGGAAGGGACTTGGAGGGGATCCGGTCTTCTTCTCGGGACAGGATGCTCTTTTAGTGATTCCCTCATATCAAGTGAAAGAGACGTATCACTTCATGAGAGAGTCTCCTTTTCTAATTTTGAATTGATGAGACAACAGAGTGGATGGAGAGGGGAGTTTAAGTTAGGAGCGAGGGTCTCGGGTACTTTCAGAGCCAGTGAACCTTCGTGAGGAGCAGAAGTGGGGAGTGTAAAGCCAGGGCTGCATGAGGGGTCCTCAGGTGGGTGGGAAGAATGGGGGCGGCTGGGGGGAATGGGGACAAAAGCAGGGTGGGAGTGCAGAGATTGGACTGAGGGTTACCCCAGGTTTTGTCTTTCATTATAGACCAATGGCATTTTTTGAAACTTCTTTTTTTTTTTTTTTTTTTTTTTTTAACTCAACATTTATGTCATACCTTCTAGGTCTAACTGGAAACACTGGTGTGATAGTGTGGGCTTCTTTTTAACCCCAGTGGTGTGGTTGATGTAACAAAGATCTATTTAAGTCTGAGGGTGTGCCCTCCCACGTAACACATGCTGGGTTTGTTCCTTCCATTACCCACTCTGAAGGTGTAGTGGGCTTTGTGAGCCAACTGGAGGTGAGGACTGAAAACCACTGAAAGCTTTCTCAAAGCCCGGATGTGAAAGTTTTCTTCTTTTTTTTCTGCACCAGACTGAGGTAGGGAATGAGCTTCAGGGTATGGCAGTCAAGGTCTCTTTTTAGTTTGAGGAGTGATTGTATTAGAATCAGGGAATTCATAGATCCTCACTGATCAAATATCCTTCCATTCCTGAGTGATAGAATGTAAAGGATGAGAGCACCATCTTGGCAAAGATTGCATACCTCCAACGCTTGGCTCTACTGAAGAGCTAACAGACTATGGTCAATTTTCTTAAGTTCTCTGGACATCATTTTCCTCTGTCTGTAAAATAGAACAGTGGTGCTTCCCTCTGAGGAATGCTGAAGAGCAGTAAAGCCTGGAAGAGGTTCTGGAACATAGTGAGCTTTCAAAAAGTCTGAGCTAGTAGTGGATCCCCAGGTGATAAGAAGATACAATGTGAGTCTAAGGTACAGGAAAGTTGCTCTTGTCATGGGTGATCCTGGCATTCAGGGTTACCTTGTTAAGACTTGGAGGTCAGCAGCACTGCTATGTCCTTCATCTGAGGTTATAGGACAATGGCCAGACAACAGGTATACAGATACCTTATGTTCTCTTTTCGCCTTGCTTCCTGATCGGACGATGAGCCAAGGAGCAGGAGGACAAAGCCAGTTATTAAACTCTTTTCCTGTTGCAAGTAATAACTTACTTGAAGTTCCTGTTGTTTCTTCTCTTTCTCTACTTGGGTCTTTATGAGTTTTGGCAGACTCGGTTTATAGGGC